GACTCAACATCAGCCTTAATGTACGTAAGTGGTGATAATGTGGTTTTATCTGTGCTCACCAAGAGACAGACTAAAGTGGATGTGAGGCTGTTTCTTTTGTGTTTCGTTGTCTGACTTATAATGGAGTCTCTTAGCTTGTGCAACAGGGTTTGTTTTAGCTTCATCCGAACCTAAAAGTCTGTTTTTTTGTCTGGATTTTTTCTGCCAGAGTGAATTATACAACCTGATTGCTTCTTTTTTTCATTTAAAGAGTTTTAAATCGCCTAGAGTTGTCCTCCCCTCTCCTTTTGCTCTTGTTCAGATGTCGTGAATAACCTCTCGTGTTAAATGCTGGCCAGGAAATGCAGATAGAAAGTAAGGATTCACATGGTAAAAGGGAAAACAAAGGAATGTCATTATGATTCTTGTCCTGCGTATAGGAGGAATGTTTATGGATCTTCTTATTAGATCCTGCATTGAAAAAGAAGTTTAAATTATCAATATTTCAGTATGTGTGAGTCTGAAGAATAAAGCCAGCTCTCCATCATTAGAATGAGTAAATATTAATTTGAAAATCGTTCACCTGTCCACCCCTGGCCCTGCTGTACAAACAGTTTGCTCGCCTTCAGACATGCGGTAAAATCATTCATTACGTTTCTTTTGAATTCAGCTTTGGAAATATTACTGTACCATAAACACTTCTTGAAATAGCCAAGCTGTCCTCGAGTTTTTCGGAATGAGCGTCACAATCTTTTGTGAAGGGTTTTGCACAGGAAAATAAAAAAAACGGCTGCAGATGCATGTCTTTGTCCTCTCACTGTACACAGCTGACCTGCTTTTAATGCAGGTTGACAGAACAAGTATGATGTTAGATATTAACATGAAGAGCTTCTTTCCAGTCCCAAAAAAAGTGGGAGTGGTTCGAAGATGCAGCTCTAAGATGAAGCCCTTTTTGATTTTGAGACACTCACATTAAAACCTGACTGTCAGCTATCAAACCCTGGTGTAGCAGGAAATATCTGGATCTCATGTCACGTTGTCCTTGGGCAGTAATTCATGAAAGACCAGAAAAACAAGAAAATATACCTTTCAACAACAAACTGTACTCACAAATAATAATATTAATAATATAATAAAGATACATTTATTTCAACAGCAGAAAATGCAGATGCAGAAAATAAGCATATTCCCCCAAATTTCTAACTATTCCTGTAATTTCTTCTTGACAACAGCCTCTGAGAGCCTGTTGGACCAGAGCAGCATGGATTCAAGAGACTGCCACTGGAATAAAGCGCTAGGTTAAGAATGGAAGGTGTGAAAAAAGAGCCAAACCTCCTGAGCAGGCTCAGATTTTATTATTGGGAAAGAGCCATAGACAAACCTAGAAATATTCCTTAAAGAGTTAGCCCATGCCAAAGTATATTATGCAGCTCTTAATTTAGTGCAGAAAGTTCTGCTTAGTGCCAGCGAGCTACTCTTGATCAAAGTCATTAGTCACTTGATTTGGACTCTTTGCTGCTGAATAATTGAGGCTGTGAGAGGATAAAGGATTTCACTATGCTGGCTCGCTAGTTAAGAGAAATAAAGAGAACTCCCCTCTCTGAGAGAGAGAGACTGGAGGAGGAGGAGAAAAAGAGGGAGAGCAGGAGGAACTGAGAGATGCACAGAAAACAGAGAGTAAATTAGAGAAAGATTGAGCGGGAGGGAGTGTGAGTCTGATGTATGCTTTGTCTGCTCATAGCTCTGTCCACCACACTACTGATGAAACATTTAACACTATAATTTCTGTAAAACTACCACCCACGTTTAGGGGGAGAAGTTCCCCAAGTCTGGACAACTTTCCCTGTCGCTTCTCAGGCTCGTTTCACCTCAATTTCCAGGGTTTTTCCTTCCACTTCCTTTTCAACTTATGGCTATTTATTCAGAGCTCTTGGCACTCTGGGTACTTTACGTCCCTTCTGCGGGAGTGCAGCTCACCCCGTGAGCATATATCAAAAAGATAATAGCGCTTTGATTTATGTTATCTTGAGATGATGTAATATACAATGAAATGTTCCGTCTTTTGTGCTTGTTTTCATTTAAAGTCTTCGGGTTCTGATTTATACCAGCAATTCATCCACTTACAGACCTGTGATGGATTCTCTGAATACGGACCTCAGAATGTGTTGAACCCACTCATCAGTGTTTATAAAGGATGCACACACCTTAAAGAAAGGATTTCTTATCGAAAAACATTCCACTCGTGTGGTTAGAAGAGCAAAAAGGCTGAAAATAACTGTGCCCGGTAATATGTAGATTTCATTTTTGTAAATAATGGTCCGTTAGAATATAGGACAAATAGCAACCCCTAATCCGTTGTCCCATGGTAGTTCCACTGTATTCAGCAAAATACTGTGGGTGCAGACGCTGAGAGAATTAAAATGCTAAACGCTTAACGACTGTGGTGCTGTTTGGAGGAAACTGCACAGGTTCTGCATCCATCACGCTGCGTGTCACCACTGCAGGCTGACGTTTGTGGTGTGCTGTTCGGAGCTGTTATCATGTCATGATAAATGTTGAGCAATATTTGAGTCTTAATATTGCACTCTGAGAAACAGTTGCATTCAGGTGCGTCCTGCCTCAGGGCCTCAGTATGCTTCGAAGGAACTAGTTTGTACGACGATTCATAATGTTGGACTCGCTTTATCACATGAAAAATTTAAAAAATGGCTTGTGTAAAGAATGAAAGAAGAGGGCTCAAGAGAGATCGCGTCTGCAGAGATTGTCGGTTTCAGAAAGTTGCAGAAATTGTCGGACGCAGCCCTTCCAGTCGATAGAAAGGTGTTGGTGGTGAAGGTTTCAGACGAGGTCAAACAATCCGACTAGCACTTAGTCTGGGTTGGTCTGCTGTCTATAGATAGTACTAATGGCACTAAATGACTGAAGTAACCAGCTCCTAGTTAAACTGAACATGTGTGGGGTAAGAGGTGACTATCACTTTGACGCAGTTTTGGGAAGCACTGAACCCAGATGGTTTATTTTTAGCCAAGTCGAAGCTACATACACAAAAGGTTTATGTAAAAAGAAATACAGCAGACAGAGTCAGCTACAAAAGTGAGTTATTCCACAGAGGTGCCATTTATCTCCATTGGATTACATTCTATAGATTCTTTCAGTTTGCCAGACATGAGCACTTTACCAGCATAAGGAAGTGACAAATTGAAAAGTTAAGGGCAAAATATGAAGGGGTTGGTGATGGTGCAGTGGATAAGACACATGCCTTTGGTGTGAGACACCCACTGTGAGACACAATTGTGTCCCTGAGCAAGACACTTAACCCCTAGTTGCTCCAAAAGGCGTGCGACCTCTGACATATATAGCAGTCGTGCAGCACTGACAATACAGCCACTGATCTAAAAGATATTTGGCCTTCAAGTCTTGTTGGAAAATGAATTATAGAGCACGTCTGAAGAAGCCAGCAAACTCCTAGGAAATGTAGGTAAAAAGTCTTGTTAGAAATAGTCTGGGGTTGTTGCCACAGTAGTTTTAGGCAAAATGTATGAAAAAAATAGAGGAACTAATTACTTTTCTCAGGGAGTAATTAGTATAGTTAGTAATTGATTCATTTGAAAAGGTAAGAAAGGGGAATTTTTCCACGAGCAAACCAACATCAGCGACAGGATTTTTGCTGCAGCTGCACCAAGACTGCAGATTTCTCTTCTCCAAAGCATCAGATTAACTGAAACTTTAAAAAAAAACGATTGTTGTGCTGCAGTGTAAGTGTGTTTATAGCTTTAAACTCACTATATAACTAAAGATGCCAGCACTTAGGTATCTCTTGGTATGAAGAGATCACAGACCAGCTGGGCTGGTAAACATCGACGTGCTGTATAGAGTTTACAGATGTAACGTCGCATGCTTTATGGAAACTGCAGATTAGAACTTTTCAGCCTGTCGCCCCTCGCTGACATTTAGAGCTGACAGTATGCAGATTTACACCCTGCGCTGCCATCAGGGAAGTGATGACAGTGTCACGGTGTTGGTTAAACTGCTATGAAATGTATTTATTTCTGCCATTATTCATGAAGACTGAGACCAATACTTAGTTGTGGTGATATCTGATCTGTTTGTCTGCAGTACCAATAGCTGTCTTTTAACTGTCCAAGTACAATACTTTTTCTTTAAGGACCAAACAAACTTAACTGTAAGATAAACATAAAAACCCTTCACTTTACTCCAGAGGTCTCTTAATTTGGTTAAAAATAGATCCTTTGCAGTAACAGTTCAAGGAGGTGAAAGCATCTTTTGAGACCTGTTCTGGAGGGATTGGACAAAATATCATCCTAACATGTGTAATTTAAAATAGGGTAGCTTTAGCTTACAGGTTGCATTTATTTATTTATTTATTTGACATGTTTTTATCACGGGTGCATATATTTTTTGTTTGCAGTCACTGTCCATGAATCTTCATTGTTTGCACTTGTTAATGTGTCTACCAGCAGCAGAATTTCTTTCCTGCAAAAGTTTGTTTTCCTTTTTGTTCTTTTATTTAATCTTTATATAACAATCCCCACTTACACATAACAAATACTTTAGATTGTTAATTGTTTCACATGTTAATTGCCGCTAAAGAAGTTATGGAAAAATAATTAAACAATTTTAAAGTAATTTAATCACATATATTTTTGCAGAATAACACGTTACATTAATAACACGAGTACAATGTAAGGATGGAGGTCAAATCCTTGTCTGTGATTGGCTGCTCCTGCTTATTTCTCACTTCTGGAGCTTTATTGACTGTAATTCTTAGAGGTTTGATAAATGTGGGTCCTGCTCTCTTTACTTCACTTCTCTTTCCTCCTCGTCTTCTCTCACCTGACCTCACCTCGCCTTTCGACTCTCCTCTCCTCGTGTAAACACTCCCATGATTACTTCAGATGTCCATGAATCCTCCACAGTCTCAGGCATCATGACTCATGCAGATATTGATGATTACACAGTTTTAAATCAGGCGTTGACTCATTCCCTCCTCCCCTGTCCAGGCTGTGAGAGTGACTTCTGGGGGCCCCACTGCAGTAACCGCTGTCAGTGCCGGAACGGGGCCAAATGTAACCCGATAACCGGAGCCTGCGTCTGCACCGACGGCTACCAGGGCTGGCGCTGCGAGGAGCCCTGCGACCCCAGCTTCTACGGCAAGGACTGCCTGCTGGAGTGCCAGTGCCTCAATGGCGCCACATGCCACCATCAGACTGGCGAGTGCCTCTGTGCGCCCGGATACACCGGGGCCTTGTGAGTAGCTTTTTGGCTGTTTATGCTGCTGGACGTGATGCATCTCTGTCACTCTGAAGCCCCCTCTGAATTCTCAACAGAACATGTGTTTAAGGGCTTTTGCCTTATTTCACATATGATTGAGAGATGCAGTTATTTCCCAAAAATTTTAATATTGAAGTTGAACTTTGAAGTTAAGCCAAAAGGAATATTTTACAACTACTGAATGTAATAATTCATCTGTGTAATACATTATTAAGGAAAGCCTAAATCAAAATGACATTTATAACATATATTCTACATTAGTAGGTTTTATTACATTAACAGACGTATTTAAAAAAAATAAAGAAGTAATATATTAAAGAAATATACCAAGCAGTAATTTATTTATTTTTTAAAAAGAAATTTTAAAATCTGTTAAACAGCAAATGCTCCAAAAGGCAACACAGCTGGATAGTGGTGTAGAAAGGGAAGTAAACACACTCGAGACAAAACAACCTTCTTTTTTTAGTGGAAAAAAATGAAATTGATTCTCTTTCCTCCTAATTTTTTTTAGCAAACACCAGGTAACCAACAAGGTGTGTCTCTTACATGTGACCTAAGGGGGCAGTACTTCAGCTTCTCTTTAATCTGTTTTTATCTTTTTACTGTATTCTTCTAAAAAGACGCTAGAATTGGTCATCAGTCAAATACAAGGTAGTGAAGCAGAAGGCTCTTTGTAGGAAAGCTATCAGTCTCTATCAAGAAAAATAAGCGTGATTTCAACTAGAGTTGGTGCATTAAGAATCCAGCAGAGGTTATCTAGCATTTCTTTCTTTGTTTGTAATATTTGTTGTCCTAACTGTGAGCTCTCTCATTAAAAAGACTTTTTTATTCCTGTTTTGCCTTTGCACAAATCCATGAGTAAAAGAGTAACGCTATTTCCTGTTGCTGATTTCTGTAGGCTGTTTGCCAGAGAGAGGCTGCTGTCACTTCATCCTGATTGCCCAACACTGGTGATTAGATGCCTCACTATGAAATGTCACATCACGTCTCAACATGAACACCTGCTTCTTCTTCTGTTTCTTTTCCCCCTCCAGCTGTGAGGAGCCTTGTCCTCCAGGTAAACACGGCTCCCTGTGCGAACAGCGCTGTCCCTGTCAGAACGGAGGAACGTGCCATCACGTCACCGGGGAGTGCTCCTGTCCCGCCGGCTGGGTGGTACGACCCGCTGCACATCCACAACAGAACCAACTAATGTGCATGTCTATTGGAGCTCCGCTAATAAGGACTATTAAAACCCAAAGCTTTTAGGCTGGAAAAGCTTCCTTAAGGGCATTTAGTATCATCAAGGGCCACTCATATTTAGGAATCTCTTCGGACTATAGTCACCACACTGCACCTGCTCAGACTCGAGCAAAAAATTTACTACTTGATTTTGACATTTTCATTATTATAACAGAAGATTTTATAAATAAACAACTTGCTGATAATTACAGTTTAGGATGAGTATCAAATCATGATGCTTTGATTTTGAGTTCGAAATAGCACAATATAAAGAAAAAACATTGCCAATATAAAGCTTGGCAGCTGGGTCAAAAGTTTTGTTAACTTATTATTTGATCAGATGTTAGATTTTCCTGATCTTAATCATGATTTGGCTATTTTAGACAATTTAAGACTAGTTTGGTTAAGTTGGTTTTCGTACAGCTAATTTTGTTAACAAGAACAAGAGTTTTCTCGAAAACCATTTTCCTCAAATAATTTTGGTATCGGCTCTGAGACGATCTGCTGGCATCTGTTTCAAAACATTTCAAATGACATCCAGCTCTAGTTACTCTAGTTAGAGTTACTACGCATATTTCTGTGATTTTAGTTTCTTTAACTTCAGATGGAGGATTATGTGCTCTATAAAGTCATTTATGTTCCTTTATTTTCACTTTTCTAGTTAAGACTAAGGTCATAAACCAGAGCAAAATGTTTTTCTTAGATCTGAGAAGTCAACATTTAAACTTTCAAACTTTTCCCTATAAACTTTTACCTCAGTTAAATCAATGTAGTGAGCGGATGGTATAAACACTTTGCATTCACATGTCTGATGTGCATGTAAACACGATGGTCATGTGATCTTCCTCCGCAGGGTCCGGTCTGCGCACAGCCGTGTTCGTTCGGATCATTTGGCATTAACTGCTCTCAGGAGTGCACATGTCGCAACGGAGGCCTGTGTGACCACATCAGCGGCCAGTGCCAGTGCACTGCCGGCTACATCGGAGAGAGGTGTGACCAGAAGATTACTTTATCTTTTAACTTTATCAGAACCTTCAGGGAAATTAGTATTTGCTGCAGATGCAAATAATGATTCAGCAGGGAGAAAGACACACAGTTGGATATTGCTATCATTATTATCACTATTATTCATTTTTATTGATATTTGTATTATTACTGCTACCACTACTGTTATTTTACATTTCTATGTGTTGGGCTAGTGTGTGTTTTCTTTCTTCCTCCTCTCTCTCTCACTCCCTCCCCCTCTCTAGCTCTCTCACACCCACCCTGAGTCTGCTCGAGGTTTCTGCCCGTTAAAAGGGAGTTTTTCTTGCCACTGTGGCCAAGTGCAGGGGCGTGGGCGTAGGGCGTAGGAGAAAAGGGGATTGAACATGTTGGGCCCTCATGTGAGGCCCTCAGAGATACTAGAATGAATAGCCATGGATGCTGGGAGGGGCCCATCGAGGATGCCTATGAGTCCAGAATTTTGTGCTACGCTCCTGACCAAGTGCTGCTCATGGTGGGAACTGTTGGGTCTCCGTCAATAATTGTATTATAAAGAGTACAGGTTTTTCCTGCATAGAGGAATTTGCGCATAGAGAAAACAACCAGCGCCAAAATGATCAGCCGCTGTATTTTACACATGCAGCTAGCGTTGGATTTAGGCCCCCATCCACACTACTCCGTTTTAGTTTACAAACGGAGAATTAAAACGAATACGATCTCCGTCCACACCAGCGTTTCTGCTGCGTTTTGGAGTTGATCTCCGTCTACAAACGACATCTAAGACCCGTTCAGGTGCACTGGGCATGCGCGTGCTGGTGTAAACATGAAGCAGATGGTCTATTACGTAGTTACAAAAGATTTGGCGATAAATAAATGCAGAGAAAACATCAGACCAGGGTTTTTTTGTTGCATGGATCAATAACGAGCTGGGACTGTTACTGAATGTAACACGGGAGTGTGGCGGCAGAAAACAGACTGGGAGTTGTTGCAAAGTAAATGGCGACATGCACAGTACAAGTGTAGGCAGATGAGTGTTATTTGCACGTTACAGAATATTTTAATAAAAATACGATGTCAAAAACCCGGTCAGCAGCATCGTGTTTCTGCTTTGCAAGACCCAATCAGAGAGCCGAGCGTGAGCGGCTGCGTCATCGTTTCTAAAGTCCTCTGTTTTGGCCGTCTTTACTAAAACGCCCTCCGGAGTTTTGAAACGCAAAACGGGGTCGGCAGCGTTTCCAAACTTCTCCGTTTTAGGTCTTCGTTTTCACCGTTGTAGTCTGGACGGGAGGTGCGAACGTAGCAAAAGGTCTCCGTTTTAATTCGAAAACGCAGTAGTGTGGATGGGGCCTTAGAGACCAGCTGCTGCGTTGGTTTGACTGCGCCTGAATGCTCCGCTACGAAGCTAGCGCTGATAAGAGGGATGACTTCTTGTGATTTCTCACAATATAAAAGCCGTTTGTGCTTTTGATACATTTTACTCTTTAGCGTACCGGGACACACCTGTAACACCAAAATCTGTTAGCTATCAGATTCTGTGACTACACCCAAACGACAATGTTTTCCTAACCATAACCAAGTACTTTTGGTGCCTAAACTCAACCAAGTACTTTTAGTACCTAAACCCAACAACCAAGTACTTTTAGTACCTAAACTCAACCAAGTACTTTTAGTACCTAAACCCAACAACCAAGTACTTTTAGTACCTAAACTCAACCAAGTACTTTTAGTACCTAAACCCAACAACCAAGTACTTTTAGTACCTAAACTCAACCAAGTACTTTTAGTACCTAAACCCAACCAAGTACTTTTGGTGCCTAAACCCAACAACCAAGTACTTTTAGTACCTAAACCCAACCAATTACTTTTAGTACCTAAACTCAACAACCAAGTACTTTTAGTACCTAAACCCAACCAAGTACTTTTAGTACCTTAACCCAACCAATTATTTTTAGTACCTAAACTCAACAACCAAGTACTTTTAGTACCTAAACCCAACCAAGTACTTTTGGTGCCTAAACCCAACCAAGTATTTTTAGTACCTAAACCCAACCAAGTACTTTTGGTGCCTAAACCCAACCAAGTACGTTTAGTACCTAAACCCAACCAAGTACTTTTAGTACCTTAACCCAACCAAGTACTTTTAGTACCTAAACCCAACCAAGTACTTTTAGTACCTAAACCCAACCAAGTACTTTTAGTACCTAAACCCAACCAAGTACTTTTAGTACCTAAACCCAACAACCAAGTACTTTTAGTACCTAAACTCAACCAAGTACTTTTAGTACCTAAACCCAACAAAGTACTTTTAGTACCTAAACTCAACCAAGTACTTTTAGTACCTAAACCCAACCAAGTACTTTTGGTGCCTAAACCCAACAACCAAGTACTTTTAGTACCTAAACCCAACCAAGTACTTTTGGTGCCTAAACCCAACAACCAAGTACTTTTCGTACCTAAACCCAACCAAGTAGTTTTGGTGCCTAAACCCAACAACCAAGTACTTTTAGTACCTAAACCCAACCAAGTACTTTTGGTGCCTAAACCCAACCAAGTACTTTTAGTACCTAAACCCAACCAAGTACTTTTCGTACCTAAACCCAACCAAGTACTTTTAGTACCTAAACCCAACCAAGTACTTTTGGTGCCTAAACCCAACAACCAAGTACTTTTAGTACCTAAACCCAACCAAGTACTTTTAGTACCTAAACCCAACCAAGTACTTTTAGTACCTAAACCCAACCAAGTACTTTTAGTACCTAAACCCAACCAAGCTGCAGCCGCTTCACATCGTCAGCAAAGCCTCTGGCGCTTAACTTCCCATTTGGGTCACAGAATCTGATAGGTCACACATTTTGGTGTCACACCGGCACTTCTCACAAGCTGCCGCCCCTTTTTCTGCCCTCTCCATATTCCCGTTTCTTTTCTCACCTGCCTGCTAATTTCTTTTGGTGGAGACAGAGCAGGAAGAAGCTCGGGGGTCATGCAGAAAGTTGCTCTCCAAATTCACTTTTCATGAACCGACCAATCACAGCCTGGAGTTGGCGGGTCATTAAAAAAAGATTGATGCATTACAGCAAACTGTTGAAATGTTGAACTCGTTGTTCTGAATGCACGGTTTTTATTATTGACAAGTTAGTACTTTGCATAAACAAGAGTCTAACCACCATGTAGAGCATTCTTCTTGCACAATCATTTTATGACAACAAACAGAAACAAACAAAAGAAAACAACCCACAAAAATTAAACCGCTGGTTTGTCCAACTGGAATTAATATTACACTAATGGTAATCTATATGGTAGCTAATCAAACTAATCTCTGTTGGCAGAGTATCCAAATAATGTGTGACCTGGAAATATATTGTTTAACTAATAAATGTACTTTTTATTTAACGTTATAATATTTATTAATAAGCTAATTTATTTTCGTGACTCCTCCAGGTTGTGGATATATTTTGTTTATCAAATGGTCAGAAATAATGAAAAAATGCAGAGATTTCAGTCATAAGGTAACTCACTGCCTTTACTGTACGTGTACCTATCGTGCTTACTTGTGAAGTCACCCCCGAAAGGCCCATTCTGAGGCAGGAAAAACCCTAAATGAGATAACTTCTGTTTTTAACTGGGCTATATAAATACAGTTACTTAACTTTAAATACAACGGGGAAACTAATAGAAACAGTAAGGCAGAACAGTTGGTGTCAATGTAAATATATTAGTAGGATATAGAGAGAAGGAGTGTGAGACTTCATGTTCACTATTAATGCTCTTTCCCTTATACATACTAATGTTCATGAATTGCCATTATGCACTTTTTTTTTTTTTTTTGTCAAGTAAGACATTTTAACCAGGAGCCATTTGAAATTATTTTCTACTTTATTTCCTCCATCATCTCCGACACTGTCAGTTATTAGGTGAAACAGTCTTTCTCCAACCCCACCTCCCCTGTGTCCAGCTCTGTCTCTCTCTTCCTTCAAATCTGTCCATCTCTCTCTCTCTCTCCCTCTCTCCCCCGTTACTCTGAATAGAGCCAAATTACCTCCATTCATTTAGGCTCCAGACAGGTGAATTAGCCTACATGGAATAATTCCTAGATTGAGTTCTCCACCAACCCGTCCACGTTCTAATGGAATTAGCCGAGATAAGAGTCCTGAGGAAGTCGGCATGATTTAAACGTGACACAAAACAGAAATCCTCGCTGAGCCATTTTAATCGAGTGATTTGTCTATTTCTTAGTGGTTTCAACTTGCGGACGTGTCGAGAATGATGCAGAGAAGTCAGCCTAACTTAGGCTTTAACTTAGCTTAAACCATTTTTTATTCAACTCACTTCTTTCTGTTCAATAGTGCTCATTATAAAGACCGTCCAGGGTGTCAACATAATGCGTTGACCTTATAATGGTTTAGGTGTACGTGAGTGTAGAGTGCCTGTCATCTGTGAGGATAGTGGAGTGCTCTCTGCCAGTGTGGAATAATATCACTCAGTTTTTCTTTGCTAGGTAGGAGTAGATTGTTCATTAATTTGTTAGTTTCTCAAAGGATCATTCAGGCCGCAGTGAACGTGAAACCTATTTAAACATTTTGAACAATGAAAAACAACATTAGTTCCCAGTTTGGATCATTTTTGGATATGATGTACATGGAACACACAGAAACTTGATTTAGCTCCCTGTTTACGTGATGCTAATGGGTGAAGAGTGGAAGTTAGTCTCAGACTTTGTGGGTACATTGTGTATATCCAGGTGTTTCCAGGGTTCTCAGCTTCCATAAGGACGGTCTGAGCTCCCATGGAAGCAGTAAAATCATGCATCTGTGGGGGGGTCACTAATTCATTTATCAACAACCATCATTTTGAATCACAAATAATGTATTTGTCATTGTAATTAGTACTATTATTTACATTAAAAAGATAAACATTTGACATGTTTTCCTAATGAACTACACTGCGCACCGCAAGACTGACAGGATGGCTGCACTACAGTTCAGTTTTGACCGAACAGGTTGAGACCGCGACCCGCAAACATGAACTCAGTTGTATTCAGTGCTTGATTTGGGCCGGTACCCACCTTTGGCGTACCGGGACTTTTTCTTGCGTACCGGTGTTCTGACGATATATGCTGCCTTGTCAGAAAATGCTACCGTAGCAGAAATCGATAGCAGAGTCTATCGAGTCGCTCTGTCCTATCGAAAAATGCTACCTTATGTGTTCCCTTTTCCAATCCCATAAAGGTATAACTCTCACAGTATTATGACTGTTTTTGGTTATATTATAACATCATTTCAGGGGTAGCGTATTCTGATGTTGACTAATATCCCCTATCAAATAAAGCTCCCACCACAGAATCATTTTATATTACCCCACTACTCACTTCACGTGTACTGTAAGGAGATGGGGAACATGTTGAAATACTGTATTAAGCCATCTTTATTTTTATATTATGTTTTTTTATATTATGTAAGATATCAGGGGTAGGGGTATTCTAATACATATATGTATATATATATTTTTGGATATTGCTGACGATCAGCCACTATCTTGACGGCATGCCCAACAGCAAGGTTGCACAGATTTATGGGCGTGGAAACAGATCACGCTTGTGGGTCATACGCATGTGCAGAACCGCTAAGTAGCACATCTCGACAGGTAGCATAAATCGACAGAACGCCGGCACTTCTCACAAGCTGCATTAGGCTATGTTCCACTATATATTTATATTTTGAATTCTCACCTGCCACCTTTATTTTGTTTCCCTTCATATAAATAAAGACATTTCCACAATAAATTGGTGCAGAAAATGTCTCCAGAATGCAGAAAAACTAAGTGTTAAATGGTCAAAGTCTTCTGATGTGGGACCCCAAGACCCACCCACTGATATATTTCCGCAACGAATATTCATTCAAAATACTGTTAAAATATCTTCTCATCTTGTTCTTGTGACCCAAGTGTGCCGTCACACTCCTAATCTGACCCCTATTTAGTTATTTATTTATCTCTACCGGTAACGTTAGCTAGTAGGCTACATTAGAGACGAAGCTCAGATTATAACACAAGCCCTGTCTTTGGTGTATTGTTATCTCAGCCACTCTCATTTATGTACAGATTGAGTTAGCAGAACAGGCTGAACCCAGTTGAGTTCGTTCACCAGATTGTTTACTGCGCTGCCTGATTTGCCTTCGTCATCTGATCAGCGGTAGCTAATGGAAAATCAGGGTCGACATTAGAATTTATCCTGTCTTTTAACGCCGCGGTGTAAATCACCATTACATTCTTTATCACCATATTTTTTGTTTTTAAGTGCCACAAAAAACTCCAAAATCAAACCATATTAGCATTTAAACACACTGTTTGATTAATGTAGCTTCAAGTTGAAATACAAAGTTTGCACCTTTAATACCTTATACGAAATACCAAGAACCATCAGAGATCACTTTTATCCAAAGCACTTTGCAAGTTTCCTCTCATTTGCCCATTCACACCCCATGGCAGGCAGACACCATGCTGGCGTGACCGGTGGGAGTAATTGGGATTCATTAGTGGACGGCCGCTCTACCTGCTGAGCCACAGCCGCCATTATTATTCTAAAGAACTTCTCAGGAACATTTCTCAGTCAGATACATTTTCTTTGAAAAGCTTCAAATGAGGCAGATATAATCACAGAGAATGTTGGCAATAAGTGAGTGCACTCTAAAGTATAAATGCATAAAGATCACGGAGAAACCTGTTTTAGATGAGATCTGAAACAGAATCCTGGATAAACTACATGAACCTGGCATGCATAGATTCATTTCATCTTCACAAAACAAAAAGAGACCCAATCCAGAAAGAACCCGAAGACAGTCTGACTTTAGCATACCTGAGGCCAATCCTAAATGTGAACAGACGATATGATGTTCTATCAATAAAAGCATGGCAACATGTCATTTTTCCTGCAAAGATCACACTTTGGCTAAAAAACTTTTTACTCGTCCGACAATTATGACGCACAAAATCAGAACTGATCCCCAGAACACTCAGGAAAAGAACTGGAAAGATCAGTCTATCTGTCAATTTAATAAAATGTACCTGTAATCAAGCCCAAAGACCAACCATCGCCTTGTTCCAGCTTCTCAATAATGAGAATGTTCTGCTTTTCTTTGTCTCATGTGACAGTAAGCTGAATATCTATGAGTTGTGGACTTTTGTCCGTCACTTTCAGCTTGACATTTTCGGACATTTTTACATACTAAGTTATTTGTTGATTTATCAAGGAAATAATTATCAGCAATTATCAGCATTAACTTGGGGTGGTGATGGGGCAGTGGATAAGACACATGCTTTTGGTGTGAGAGACCCGGGTTCGATTCCATTGTGAGACACCAATGAGTCCCTGAGCAAGACAATTAACCCCTAGTTGCTCCAGAGGTGTGCGACCTCTGACATATATATATATATAGCAATTGTAAGTCGCTTTGGATAAAAGCGTCATGTAAATGTCACTTCTTAAACTCAAGGGTATAATAAACCCTGGACCAGAGATCCACAGTAGAACAGGACCCAACTCCAACCCAATTACATTGAACATGTTTTGGATATGGCCCATCTCTGCTAGGAACCGATTGGACCCATTGTGAAAAAATCCTTTTGTCCAAACTGACCTTTCCAAAGACATATTATCTCAAAAATTTGTCTCAGTGTTGTTTGGATAGGAACTACCTACAATTCACAAAACAGCATTTATTTGATGTTGAATCTGGATTCCAACTTGATATTTAGTAGTTTAAATTTAAATATTTTCCCATTAACCACAGGTGAAATGAAACCCAATGTTGACGTCAGACAGTTGTTAGAGAATAACTGTTTCTAGCTGGTAAAAATTCACAGGAACCTTAAGAGGGGAGCTTGGTGTGCTGAAAAATAGTCTGTACCTGAAATTCTTTTGCTGGTGTCTTTTTAAGAGACAGCCTTGCCCATTCAGCAGGTTTAACCAGAAACACTCAAGAGAAACAAATTTTGTTGATATTTACACTCCTCTGACTGCTCCTTTATTATTTTTGTACCAACCTAGATGCCAGGATGAATGCCCAGTTGGCACTTATGGGCCGCAGTGTGCCCACAAGTGTGACTGTCAGAATGGGGCCAAGTGCTACCACATCAACGGCGCCTGCCTTGTAACGAGGGCTTTAAGGGCCCCAGCTGCCAGGACCGCTTCTGTCCCACTGGCTTGTACGGACTCATCTGTGACAAATACTGCCCCTGCAAAACTGCAAACACACTCAGGTACTGAACTGTTGGTCAAGCAGGCATGAAACTTTCTATGCTTTTCCACTGTACAACACAGTATAAATAGAAGAAGTTTGTGTTTGAATTACTTTAGCTTGTTTATTTAAATTAGAGAACTGTACATCACTATTACACTTTAATCAAAAAAGGCTGACCTCTTGTGCAGTTTCATCACATTTCAACAGATACATATAGTATTTATAGTGTCTTTTAATTGTTTTCTGTTTTTAGAATTTGTAATACAATTCTATCCTCTCAGCACATGGTTTGTTTTTTGTTTGTTGTTGTTGTACATGCAGAATAAAATATGCACTTTAAGATGTAGACTGCTTGACTAACTTCTAATCTCCTTGCTCTCTCAGCTGTCACCCTCTGTCAGGAGAATGCACCTGTGCAGCAGGATGGGCGGGGCTTTACTGTAACGAGACCTGTCCGGCAGGTTACTTCGGCGAGGGCTGCAGAGAGCTGTGCGCCTGTGCTAACGGAGCCGACTGTGACGGCACCACTGGAGCTTGTCTGTGTGCTCCAGGGTTCATAGTAAGTACAGAAGCACACCTACTCTGAGAAAAAGCTTCCCTGTTTGCTGAATGATTCTAATCACTGTGCCGCTTTAAATTAACATCAGGAGTTTCAGGTGTTTTATGAGATTGCTTTTGAATACTTTAACTGCTGTTAGTGTAATGTAAACAGACCAATTTAATCATGAAAAAACTTCTCAGGATATTTGTGATTCTACTTACATAACATAACAACATGAATACCATGACCACCACTACATACTACAGCAGCCTGTAACATACGCTGCAGGTTGCTGCTTTTCACCCACTGTAATCTCATCACGTAGACACAAACAGCGCAACACGTCCTCATATAGAAACAACAGAATAGGTCGATTGTGGATGTCTTCAAAACCAATGAGTGTTTTTAATGACTCCCAAAATGACATTTATGAGCGCAGCTGTAGGGTTAACGGTCAAAATGCATACAATCATGGTTTAGGCACACATCGCTGTGATAGTTAGGGTAAGGGGCTTCAGGGGGTTGTTGATGCCTTTAACAGGAACTAGAGCTAACGGTAATGTTAACTTGTGCTAGCGCTTACGGTAGCTAGTGCTACAAAAAACGCTAACACTAGCCAGCTAAGGCTACAAAACGCTAAAAAAAAAACCACTACAAAACGCAAAAAACCCACACATTGCAACACTAAGGCTAAAAGTACTACAAAAAACAAAAATTAATGTTGGCTTTTGGTTTCACACTGGTAAAGTAAAGTAAAATCGCCTAAACAGTTATCTGTGAATATCTTACTTTTTCATGCTCTTATCTTGTTTTTTTGTATTATTCTTTACACTTGTTAAAGCACTTTGTAACTTGTTTTTGAAAAGTGCTCTACAAATAAGGATTATTATTATTATTGTTATTAAGGGAATGGTTAGCAACATATAACACGATTAAAATAAGCAGGGGTGGAAATTAACTTTTTGGCTCACCTACCAATCGGAACGTAGCAAACAGCACATATAAATAAACGGGAGATTTACGGGGAAATATTTTAACGGGAGGATATCAGGAGAGAACGGTAAAACACGGGAGAAACCCGGGGGAAATCAGAGGGTTGACGGGTATGGACATTACAGGGGTAGCTAGCTAGCTAAATGCTAAAAACACTCCAGGTACTCCAACCACGACTTGACGGCTCCTGACTCAAATCCCCATCCTTACATATCTACGCCAATAAGACACAAGTAAACTGAAATTAACATACACAACAACCAATGCCCCTTATCCATGTGTCACACGATTTTAGATCCCTTGGTATAGCGGGGGACCGATTTAAGTGCGACACACAACCAAAAACATTGCTGATCCGCTGTAAGCTACCAAAAACATATTATATGGTGATAACATACTGAATATGTTTACCCGCCAACCCGCATTTGGCGCTTGGCGGATGTTAATTTCCAGCTAATAAGCTAACTAATATCATAAGCATAATTTATTGGCCCGGACAAAAAATAAACCTATTTTGTTGACTGACAGGGACGAAATCTGGACCGTGTACATAAGCATTCTCTATGGTCCCCTCCACGCATCCACGGCTATTTGTTTTAGTATCTTTGTGGGCCCTCCTCACATGAGGACCCTGTATACACAGTCCCCTTCCCACCCCTCCAGTCCTACACCCCTGTTGATTGATATTAGGGCTACAATGAGTAGCTGATTAATCTAGTTGTCGATTCACAGAAAATGTATTGCCAAATATTTTATAATAATTGATTAATCATTTAAGTCATATCAAGCACAAAAGCTAATCACTCTCTGGTTCCAGCTTCTACAATGTGAGGATTTGATGCTTTTCTCTGTTTCATCATAGTAAAAAAAATATCTTCGGGTTTTTTTCAGGCAACACAAGACATTTGAACATGTCACCTTGGACAGATTTTATACTATTTTATGACATTTTATAAACTAGATGATGGCAGACTGCTGACTGACTGCAGTGGTTAAAGTGTTACTGCAACTTACATGTAGTATTGCACTTCCATAAAGTCGGGAATCTTGTGAGAGACGGATTAATAAAAGATCAATAAAAATCAAAGCAGCAGGGGGAGATTTTTTTCCTGACTTTTAGTCCCTAATATGAGTGAAGCTCCAAAAATCCTACACTTCCCAGAATGCACCTTTCATAAGACTCTCTCTGCTTGGTAAACTTGCATGACTTTCAAACTCCTCACCTCCAGTTTGCAACTATATTTGAAAATTTGTAGTCATGCTCAGATAACCCTGATGACATCACTATGACATCATCAGGGTTATATTCTCTATCTGGACAAAGCTTCTCCAGAGCCGCTTAAGACATTATACCACTGTTTTTCTGGCTGAATAGTACTCCTCATGACTAGTAAACTAATATCAATATGTAAAATTGTTGGAGTGCCCCTTAAAGAAATAAAACTGAGGAACTGCAGAATTATTGATAGGATAGGAAAGACATAAAATTACTTTTTTTTCCTTTGCTTTTTCTTTACTATTACTACTGGATAATATTACTGGATCACAACCTGTGACGAGGGGTCACAAGTAGACATACAGTAGTTTTGCTTTAAGTGTAACCTACAGCTTTAGACAGAGTGCGGTGCTTAAATGACATTTTCACTACCTACCTCTCTTGGCACAGTTTTAAGAGAAACACAGTTTCTATGATCAGGAGGCACTGCCTGCTGCTAAAGCCCAGTTGAACATGAGACCTAATGAATCAACCAAAAAGATAACGTCCATTCTGTCTACATCATCCCAAGTCTACATTGCAGCAGCTGTAGGAAAACATCGCATATACAGCAAGAACATGCACAGAAGCTTCAACGGCACTTCAAGGGACATCTGCTGGTAGCTAAAGTACTGTATGTGTGAGTTAATTATATTAAAATACTACTAGAAAGGTTCATCCAGAAGCTTAGTGTCTTTGTTCTGAAAAATGAAGAAGTTGTATTCAATTGAGCGTCTTTCCAGACAACATGTGAAGATAATGTGTGCAGGCTTTTTTTTAGCAGCAGGTGCAGAACATGCTCTCTGACATGCTGAGGTTAATTTATCACGTGCTGTTGACTCTGCAGGTTTACTCATAGAGCTGCATGGCTTGTAATGGAGAAGGGCTACTGCAGGTGCAAACCCCATGATATAGGTCAACCTTGTGGAGGAAGAGAGTATGCAAATGTAAAGGGGTAGTGTTGTGTATGTATAAGCAGTAATAAGAATGTGGCTGAGAGTGAATTCAACATTTTATCTAGACCTCAGGCTGTGTGTGTGTGTGTACTCAGGCACAGTGGTGCTAAATGAGCTAAATTTGAGCTAAATGCTAACATCTTAGTTTAACATTATAGTATGCAATCTGTTGCTAAGTAACTACTGTGCAGCTCATAGAATCGTGATTAAAGGTAAATGCTAGATTTAGGTCAGGAAGGATTCAAAATTACATGTAGCAGTGACTGTGTGTGTTTTTGACCGATGTCTGCAGCCCAGCAAAGCAGCAACTGGTGAGAGACCCCTATGGTGACTGATCTTGCAGTGACTGCGTGGAGATAAGACAGGGACTTAAATAATCGGACTGAGAACATCAGGGATTTTCAGCAGATGAAAGCAGGATGAGCGCTGCAGATAAATGTCCGTTTGGTTTATAGCAGCTAAATTCAGAGTGTTGTTTTGATTTAAAGGGAATTTATGCTGCGCTGGTAACTCACAGTTTGGTACTCTCTGTGTGTCACTGTGTGGGCAAGAAACCAGCTTTAAACAGAATTTATATGTGGTATTGTCACCACTCTTGACAGATCGATCGATATCTGTAAACATGTGCAACTCTGAGCCAAGATTGGAAATCTGCAGAACAACACTACTGATCTGTCACACCATGAGGAACTGTTGAGTTGGTTTCAGCGAAAAGAAAAGAATTTTCTCCCAAACAAGTGTTACAAATGTACACAAAAACTTTGCTCTAGATAACGTACAGTATCTATAATAATAATAATAATAATCTTTATTTGTAGAGCACTTTTCAAAAACAAGTTACAAAGTGCTTTAACAAGTGTAAAGACAATAATACCCAAGAGACAATAATACAAAAAACAATACAAGATAAAAGCATGAAAACATTGAATAGACTAAAATACACGTTTAAGATAAATATAAAATTAGTAAAATAGAATAAAATAAAAGGGATAAAATAAAGTCAAATAAGATCAGGAAAAGCTCTCCTATAAAAGTATGTTTTAAGAAGGGACTTAAAAGAGTTCACTGACTCAGCCGACCTGATTTCCTCGGGCAGGCTGTTCCAGAGCCTCGGGGCCCTGACAGCAAACGCTCTGTCCCGTTTGACCACAAGGCTATAAGCCAAATTTGAACATTCGCCTGGTATATTTTGAAAATATTGTATTTTAGTTTATTTTCATTAAATTTACAGTTACAATTGTATTCCAGGTGTATTAAATGGTATTCAGTTGCATTATAATAATATGATATAATAATGTTATAATATTATGATGGTTTTGATGGTCTTTTTTACCAGGCGAGGATTAAAAAGTTCATATTTTTCTTTACTGCATCTCCATGTAGTTTGTAATGGTAAAATAAATATGTTAATTTACAATGGATTTATATTCCTTAGCTTCTGACCTTTCAAAGGCCAGAATTATGCATCTAAGCCAAATGGTTGAGGAGATATTCCTGATTCATTTTGGGTATGTTATTTTGTGCGTGTTTCATGGAAATAGGGGGTAAATAGCTGGAGGTTTTCGACAGGTTTAATGTTCCCTTTTGAGTTTTTGACCTCTACTAGCGCTGTCGAGCTGGGTTTTTTGTGGGAGGAGGTCCCTGCTTTGTTTGTCTTGTGCATGCGCGACACAGTCATACCAATGGTTTCACACTATTCTACTGATCCACAGATGGAGGTAACAGCCGAGAAAGGAAGGGGAACAACATGCTAGTAAACTTAGATGTAAACAATGCAGGACTGAAGTTACTTAAAAAAATCAGCTTTTCACATA